TAATGAAATGAATTTTTTTTTATTTGCAACAATAATCTAATTAGAATACCCATGAAGCACTCTAATTTTCCCTTTTTAAGTTTTAAATTCTCCTATTATTTGAGGATGTTAGGATTAACTTTAAAGAGGCTCTGTTAATTTATAATTCATTTAAAAAATAATCAATATTAAACTTACTGATTTTTAATTTCTTGCTCATAATTACAAAAGTTTTAAATCTTAATATTGGAGGATTTTTATTATTATAAATTAGATTTACAAAAATTAGGTCTAAGTAACATATTGGATCAAATATTTATCATAATATTTCTTAAAATAAATGTAATAAAACTTTAAATATGTTTAGTATCATTTATGATCTAATCTTAAAATTATATACTTTTGACTTAATAGATATTATTAGATTTATTTCTTTAGTTAAATTATCAAAATTATATAAATTACAATCTTTCAATAATTTTTAATCAATTCAGAAAGAATTTATTATATTACATTTTTAGAACAGTCTTGCATATATAAAATAATGTATTTTAAGTATTGGTTATGAGTTAAAATAAGAAGTATGAATTATTATAATTTAAAATTTTATATAAATGAATTATTATTATTTAAGTGATATTATATTTTAACACTATTATTTAATTAAAGGTTTTTATTATAAATCAATTTATAATTATATTTCATTCAGTGTTTTTCCTTTCTTACTAAGATAATATTATATCAAAAACTATCAAGATGATTAGAATGTATTGATTGTTTAAAATCTAGAGCTGTTAAAATACTTATTGAATTATTACTCTTTACTTATATTTAATTTTTAATTTTAAGAGTATTTAAAAATGAATTTATTGTTTATGAATAATTATGAATACATTATAAACATAATGGAATATTTTCACAATATATATTTTATATAGAATTAATTAAAGATTAAGTTTTTAAACATTGAATTTTTGAATTTGAATATAATTATATTGCAATATCACATTATTACATATGTTAAGATAATAATTCACATTTATTAGTTTAAAAAGAATAATAGTAACCTTTATAACATTAAGCACAACCTAAATGTATTTCATAATTATCCAATTATATATATTCTCTATTTATATCTATTGATACTATTATATTATTATTATTATCATAAACATATTCAAAACAATATTCAAAATTATCAATAAAACAATAACCACAATTTATTCCATCTAAACTTAAATAAATTATAATAAAAAACCAGTTTGTTTTAAGATTTATGTAAGACGGCAATTAATTGATTGTAATAAAAATTAACAATATCTCATAAACCATCATTTATAAGATATTAAACTTAATTCTTTAATCTTATTAAATTCATAAACAATTATCTTATCATATATTTTTTACTTGATCATTTATTACTTTATATTAATTGAATTCATTATAATCTTATCTTCGTGTAAAATTCTCTTCCAACATAATATTTATTATTTAAGTTTTAAATGATTCAATTTATTATTTATATATTATGCAATAATAAGTACAAACAAAAGATAGGGAAAAAATTGAACTATTCTTTTCTGCTCGAGGTCTTGCTAATAAAGATGTTTTATCAGATAGTGACCCTTAATTATATCTATATTTAAAGGAAGGAAAATAAGGAGTTGAAAAATTAATAGTGAAAACAGAAGTTAAAAAAAACAACCTTAATCCAGATTGGAAAGTAATTACGTATTTTTATCTATAGGTATCTGTTGTTTTAGATTTTATATTTGAAGTGAATCAATATCTAAGATTCTTAGTTGTCGATAGTGACGGAGATGATATTAAAGATGATGACATAATTGGTACCTTAAATGTATAATTTACTTTTAAAATTTAGACAACAGTTGGTGAAATCATGGGATCAAGAAACTAAATATATATGGGTTAACTTTCAAATAAGAATAAATAAACAGGAAAGCTTTTAGTAAAAGCAGATAAAAGACAAGAGATTGGAGGATTAAATTAATTAATTTATTGGTAATGGTATGGTAAAAAGATAAAAAATATGGATGGATGGTTTGGAGTATCAGATCCTTTTCTTAGATTTTTTAAATGGCATAAGAATTCAGATTGGTTGATGGTTCACGAAACTGAATTTATAAAAGATAATGAAAATCCAATTTGGAAAGGATTTGAAATATCTCATGATAAATTACATGATGAAAATCCATAATAACCTATTAAAATAGAGCTATGGGATAATGAAAAGGATGGAAAACATTAATTGATTGGATCTGTTGAAGTTACTATTGAGTAAATATTTTTTAAAGAAATACATGAATTTCAAGTAAAAACACCTAAAGGAGTAATAATTTAAATCAATTTAGGAATTTGGTGGAACTATTGGAATTAAAAGCTTTTAAAAACCATCTTTTATTGATTATTTGAAAGGTGGTGAATAGATTAATCTTTAAATAGCCATAGATTTTACAGGATCAAATGGTGATCCTCGTAGTTCATCTTCATTACATTATAATGTTCCTAATCAATTAAATCAATATTAAAATGCATTGAGTTAAGTAGCAGAGATATTATTGAATTATGATTATGATAAGAAAGTTCCTGTTTATGGTTTTGGTGGTATACCTTCTTTACCTAATTATAATAAAAGTTCAACAGATGATTGGTAATTTTACATTAATATTTTATATATAGTTTCCCACTTAATGGTAATAAAAAGGATCCAGAAGTTTTAGGATTAGAAGGAATTATGAATATTTATAAATTAGCTCTTAATCATGTATAATTGAGTGGTCCAACAGTTTTTGGTCCTGTTATAGAGAATGCAATAGAAATAGCTGAAAATAATAGAAAAAAAGATATATATAATGTCTTATTAATAATGACAGATGGATAAATTTATGATATGGATGCATGCATAAAATTGGTTAAAAAAGCAGCTAAACTTCCATTATCTATAATTATTGTAGGAGTTGGTAATGCTAATTTTAAAATGATGGAGGAATTAGATGGTGATGGTCCATAATATGCAGATAGTTTAAGAGATGTTGTTTAATTTGTGCCATTTTTGAAATTTGCTGGATAACCTGGATAATTGGCAAAAGAATTATTGTCAGAATTACCTGATTAATTAATATAGTATAAACAATTGATTGGAAAGGGTCCAAATCCTGCTAAATAAATAGATTTAAGTTAATTAGCATGATAATTCTATGAGTATTAAAATACAAAAAATATTTAATCAGAGTATTTGTTTAAATGATTCAAAAAAATTAGTTCCTTTAAAATCATTTTGAATTGTAATTCTATTCTATAACCAAGTTGAAAATTTGGTTCTTAATTTATCTTCTGAAAATCTTTTATCTATTAAGAATAGTAGACCATAATCATTTTTATGTCTAATTACTCTTCCAATACATTAATTAACAGCTCTCATTGTTATATTATCATAATATTAATTACCATTTATGTTAATTTATTCTTTTAATTCAAAACTATCTAGATTTGGATATGGAACTCCAAAAATAATTACAGCTCTAGCCAAATGATCAGAAAAATTAATTCCTTCTGATAATGAACCACCAACAACTGATAATAAAATGGCACCTTTTTTAGCAACTTCAGAATATTTATCCAAAATTTAAGAATTTTATTTTTCATCAAAAAATATTTATTTTTTAAATTATAGATTATTTACTTTTGTATATTATTTAAATTACTCTAAAAAAGTATAAGTTTACATAAATATAACTATTCCTTCTGGAATACATTTTTCTATATCTAAAATTAATGAATTTGTTTAATTCATAAGTTAATTTAAATTTTCATTCTTTTACTTAAATGAATAATCTAATTAAGCATTTATAATTAATAATTAACATCTATCTTTTGATATGATATGAGGATATTCTTTAAAAATAAATTCATTAGAATCTACTTTCTCTTTAAATATTTCAAATTCATTTAATGGTTATAAGGTTCCACCTAAAAAAACTAAATTTCTTGATTTATCAATTAAAGTTTAAAAACTTGAATAATTATTTATTTTAGATAATTTCATAGTATTTGATTTCTCAATATATAAAATTGATTCTTTTTAGGATGTTAGAATTAATTATGAAATAAATTTACAAAAACATTCAAAACTAGAATAATGTGTAACATTTTATGATGAATCAATGAATCCATTAATTCTTTGTCTCATATCTTTATTTTAAATAAATTTTATTAATTTTATGATGTTAAGTTTAGGAATACCTATTTCTACCATGAAATCAATTAAAGTTATAAGATTCCCACTTTACTTTGTTTTAATTTTATCTATTAAAGATTTACATATTTGCAATAATTAATTCAAATAATATAAAGTTTTAGCTTTAACTCTTTAATGATACTTTTTTCTATAATCATCAATACCTCCAACTATTATATTTAATTAATTTAAAGATATTTCACAAGATTCAGTTTACAAAAGAGCTGAACCAAAATTATGAGCTTCATCTACAATTATTATAGGTTCAATATATTAATCTATTGATTCCATCAATAACTAATATGGAGTACAAATAATATCTGCTTGTAATGATAATTCCTTTGCTGCATAATAAGGACAAGATTAACATTTCTTACTTACAGTGAGTAAATCATTTATGTCAAATATTTCTTATGTATATTATTCCAAAGTATCTAAAGACTTGTAATAAGAACATTATTTTTTATGACTTTTACAAAGATGATTTAATTTATTTACATTATTATTTGCTTTACTTAATATTGATTAATTTACACATAGATGTTACCTTGAACCAATTGTTGAAACTCTAACTTTGTGTTTAGATCTTCTTACTTCATTAATAAATTATTTTAATTAAGAATGAGTACGACTACAATAGATAATTTTATCATTCAATGATTATCCTCTCAAATTAATCTTGGTTTCTTCACTACTTGAATAGTCAAATAAAGCATCATCATCTATCAACTTAACATGTTTTTTCTATTATTTATTTTCTATTTCAAAAATCTAATATACCATTAATATTAGGTTTTTTTAAAGGATTTAGTTTTAAATCAACATCTGGTTCATTAAACCAATCTGGCATATCATTATCAATTTAGCATTTCTATTTTACTTTAATTAATGTGTTTGACTTTATATCATCTAAATAATTCAAAGCTCCTTCAATTAAAGCATAACTTTTTCCTGTTCCTGTTGGAGATTCAAAAATGGAAACCTTTTTTTATATACATATTAATTTATACTTTTATTCCTTATGCTAAACTCATATAGATATCTTTAGATAAATCAAGTTAGGATTCATATGGAGGAAATGGATATTATAATTTGATTCTCTCCCTTATTTTTTCTTCAATGTCCTTATTCATCCAAATAAAATTATTAGTGTATTTTAACACAAATTTAGTTGAATTATAAATAATAAATTAAAATATAATTCAATTATCAATATTCTCAATATGATTATAATATTTTAGCGACATTTTAGATATCCTATTTTATAATATTTTATGTAGAGTATTTATTTGAATTGTTATTTATTTCATTTAAATTTTTAGATATTTAAAAGGAAACTAAATTCCCTTTTCTTATTCCACCTTAATTAATAGTTTTAAACTTTAATATTGGATTTTCTGATAAATATGGTAACAATTTCTGACACACAAAGATACCTAATTTACCCACTAGAACTCCTTATATAATAAATAATAATATTACTTGAATAATCTAATTTATCAGCAAATCCTCCAGCATCATCAATAATTTCAAATTAAATATCTTCTTTATTTACTTATTTTAAATTTATATCAATTGAATAAGAAGAATCTGTTGTTTTTTAACATTCTTTAATTGAATTATAAATGAGATTAATAATTACTAATCGAAGATATTAAGGATGTGTAATTACAGTTTCATTCATTAATAATTCATCATCTTTAATACTTATTTTTATATTCTTCTCAATAATTATTGCATCTTAATTTAACTTAGTTATAATTTAATTAAGAAAGATATTCAAATTTAATTAAGATGGTTTTCTTTCTTCAAAATTATCTGTTAAAAAATACCAAAAATTATGATTACATAAATTTATTAAGTATATTTATGATTATAATTATCTTAATAGTTTTTAATCCATATTTTAATTTATTATTTAATTTAATTTAACTTTTAATTCTTATAACATTAATGTAATTCTTTAACATTATATCTTTGTGACAATTAGTTTATATTAATTTTATATATCATTTAATTTCTATTTTAATTATTCAATAGGTTCTTCCTCAAATTCAAAAATTAGAGCTTAATTTTAGTTATTAAATGTGATTTTTTTATAATTTTATTTATCGTATTTAAATATTCCAAATAATTTGACTTTATTTTAGATAAAGGGAGAATATGTTTATTAAAGTTAATTATTAAAAATTAAACTTAAATCTTTAGCTGATCTATTAAATAATTCTTTTTCAATTGTACTCTAAATATGTTTCACAATTTACTTAATCTAATGCATTATTTCCATTATCTAGACTATATTTTTTCTAAGAATGAGAGTCTTATTTGTATATAATTGATAACTGAGATCTAGACTCATTTGGAGACATTAATTTAGATGATTAATCTTCTTAAAATTAATTTTATAATTTCCAATTTTTAGGAATATTATTTTTTGATTTTTCATTATTATTATTTAATATTTCTTTAATATACTAATATAAAGATTATTTAACTTCAATCATTTTATTTAATATGATATTTTCATTTTCAAAAGAGATTTCAATAATTTAAGTATTTTTTAAGAAATCTTCAATATTTTAATGTTTATCTTTTAAATACTATTCTAAATATACACTTATTTTTTCAATTACGATATCATTATTATTAGAGGAAACTACAAAAATTGACTTTTCTAAGAATTTCTCCCATAAATGATATGAATTAATTTATTAAGTAGTTGAATTTTAGGTAAGTGAAATCATTTTATTTTAAGATTTTTTATCTAATTTCTTTGGTTAAAGTTAAATAACTAAATATACAATTATCAATATAGATATAATAGTTAATTCTTCAATATGATAGTGACTTTATTTCTGTGATGTCATAACAAGTATAATAATGAATAATAATGTTACAGATTATAGAAGTGCTTTGGTCATCTTAATTTTAATATTATGTTATTAATTTGTTTATTTGAATTTTTATAGTATTAACATCCCACCTATTAATAAGCTTAATATATTCTGTGATAATTATTTATAATCTAATAATAATAAACTAGAAAATTAAACCAATAATAAAAATATAAAGAATACTGGTGAATAATCTTGTTCTAAATAAATGAATATAAACATATACATATTTGATGTTTTTTAGTTTAAATTTAAGCTATAATATTTAAAGTTGCTCCTAAGATTAAACAAACTACTTCAGAAAGTAAGAAGTATGATTATTAACCCTTTAATTATAAATAAATGATGCTCATTATTGCAAATAGAGAGTTTAGTAGTAAAGGTAGGAATAATTTTATAAAATTAAGCATTAATAAAAAATAAAATTAATTCAAGTCAATGTCTTAAATTGATTCATAATTATTAAGATCCTTAATTGTAAATCCAGAGAGTATTGATGAAAATTTCTTATGTGGTATATGTTGTTAATTGGTTGTAAATCCTAAAGAATGTGAAAATTGTTAACATTTATATTGTCTAGAATGTATTTAAGATTGGTTGAAAAAGAATAGTAAAATTAATTATTATTATAAGAGATTTGTCCTTATAGATGTACTGAAGGTGAAATTAAACTTAAAGAACCTCATAGATTTGTCAAAAATTCAATTTCCCATTTAAATCTTAAATGTTAAAATGCTGATTGTGATCAAATTATAGAGTTGGGATTGATGGATTCACATTATAAAGAATGTAAACACACTATACAAAACTGTTAAAATGAAGGATGTTAAGATAAAATTAAAAACCTTAATCTTGAAGAACATAAACAAAAATGTTAATTTAGGAAAGTAACTTGTGATTAATGTCTTGTAATTTATATGATAAGTCAAGATCATAATTGTATTAGGTCTATGAAATAATAAATTGATGATTAGAACTTAATTATAAATTAGCTTAAATAACTTGTACTTCAATAATAGGCTACTTAATAAGAATAATAATAATAAATTAAAATATTGTAGTAATTAATAGAAAGACCTTAAGGATAAAAATATCTAGTATGTGATAAAGGTCATCAATTAATATGGATTAATCCATTATACAATCAAAAATGTGGAAGATGTTTATAAAACAATGAAATTTCTAGATTTAAGTGTTAATAATGCTAAAAGATTTATTGTCAATCATGTAAAAAACCATACTTTTATAATTAAAAATGTCCTAGCAATCATTAATTATAATTCGATAAAATTGTATTATTATGATTTTTATAATTAATAGGCTCGTGCTTCCATTTCTTGTGATTTTTGTGGAGAGATTCCATTTAAAAAAGGAGAAGGAGTCTGGAGTGATAGAGAGTGTGATTTTGATATTTGCATCAGCTGCTATAATAAAGCTTAATAATGATGTAAGATTAATTTTATATTAAAAATTTAATAACTATCACAATTCATTCGTTTTTTTATATACAACAGTACTATATTAAACTTTTTGTACAAATGTTTCTAACTTTCATATATTCAGTTAGCTCTAATGATTTTCATATTCTTATAATCTTTAAAAAGATTGTCAAATCAAATTTTATTTTATAAGCATAACATGTGATTGTAAGCATGCTTTATCCCATTATCAATATTATTTATAACTGTTTTTATCAGACTTGTTTTAAAATGCTTAAATTCAACATTTTTCTCAATTTTTACACAATTTATACTCTCCTAACGATTACAATATGAATTCATTTCTAATATGCCTTATAGTTCTTATAACTAAAGATTTTATAACAGAATTTCATCTTTATTAAATTTCATTATTATTTCATTTACATATAGTTTCATCTCTATTCTTTAGAATTCATTTTGAAATGTTACTTAATTTATATATGAATCTATCATTAAATATTATTATCTTGAGTCTATAATACAAATGAGGATATCCAATAATATATTGTATTCATTTTATTATTTTAATCTATTTATAATTATATGAATCAAAATTTCTATTGAGTTAAGTTTTAAAATATGTTAATATTTGACATCCTAATTTAATAAATCAATATAAATATTGATAATGAAGTATTTAAATAAAACAATCAATAAAATATACTAGAAATATAATTGTAAATTCTTAGTTCTAATTTTATTATAAGACATTCCCATAATAATATAAAAATTAGTATTATTAAATATATAAAAATTAACCAATAGTCTTTTGGCATAATGATGACTTGTAAAGAGTAGTACTATAATATCATGAGTACATATTTCTAGGCTATACTCTGACCTTTTATAATCAATTTATATATCATTTTTATGGGTTTATAATAGTTTGAATTAGTTTTTCAAATATAAAAATACTTGGATATATTACATCTTTATTATATATATTTGATTAAAAAATAATAATAATACAAATTTTAAAATTATTTAGTAATATTTAACAATGGAAAGTGTCATTTTACTAATTTTTTCACTAAAGTATTTAAGTAATTTAATAAAGCATACTGATTGTAAAGAGTACTTAATGTATTTACAATTAATTGGACATAAGAGATTATGATAATTAAATATAAATTGATTAGATTGAGGATTTGAATAGTTTGAATAATTAGAATGATTAGAATGAGTTTGCATCTTTTGGTTAAGGATTCTGGTTTCGATATATTCCATTTAAAGAAGATTATTTATAATGTATAATCAATTTGAAAATAATTAGAAATATGTGATTAATAATTAAACTTAGATATCATTAATTACTTTATGTACTCATTAAAAAGAGTTTCAGATGATTCATAATTAGTTTTTAATTATATTGAACTGAATAAAATTGAAAAGACAATCAATTATATCATATATTTTTATATAGACTAATCGATTGTAAAGAAAACTATGTCAATTGATATTTTAAATTTTGAAGGAGTTTGGATATTCTTTTATTTTTATAATCATTAGGATATAAATTAGATATCTTTTTATTATTATTAATCTAATTTAGATTAACTTTATTAAGACAAATTAGATTCAGTGTTCAAAGTAATATACACAGATTAGATTTAAAGTTCAATTAGATATTTCAAAAATATTTAAATATAAGAATTAAATATAATCACATATTCCTTTGTTGGTATAATTAAATAAGTTGAAACTACATAAACCAATATTTTATAAGATTTAAATTAATTTAAACAAATATGTTATATAGAATTAAATTGTATTTAATCTAATATTTAAATCACAAGATATAATATAAATTTCTTAGGAGGCTTCAGTATGTTTCAATAAATAGACAGCGTTTATAAAAATACTTATAAAATTTCAGGTTGGGTTAAGTAAAATCAATTAGACAAAGAAATCAAACTTGATAGTGCATTAACAAGTATATCAATAAATTATAGAAATACTCAAGATTAAGAAATATTTTATTAATTATTATAGATTTTGTATCATTAACATGCAATAATAAGTTTTAATGGTTTCACAGCATCAACCTATAGTTACTCTTTTCCTCATATATAATAATAAGATTAGATTGAAACCTTTAAGATTTTTGATGATTCCTTGTAAGAATTATTGTCTCAATGGCATTTTATTTAGTATGAAGAGGGATCCTCTCTTAATTAAGGGAAACCTATATATCGTGTTTATTTTCCTTAAAATGATAAATTTATTGAATGTAAATGGAATAATCCAATTAATCATTTTTCTAACGTAAACTTATATATTGATGTTGGAGGGGATAGATTTTATCCTTCTAACTTTAAAGGTTATTTAAGTGATTGGAAATTTTTTTTATATTGCTAAAATAATTATGAATCATCATATGAAATACCTTGTCATTATTCTTGTTAAACTTGTTAAGGAATTAGTGCTTTAGATTGTTTAAGTTGTCCTGAAAATTCAAATAGAATATACTCTCCAAATCATCATCAATGCATATGCTTAGATGGTTATTTAGAAACATTATAATCAATAGAATGTAAAAGTATTATTCTTTTTTATCATTTTTCTTAGAAATATCAGATTTCAATGGAGTATTTTAATTAAAATATTATGAAATATCTTGTGACAAGATTGGCTATTATTAATGTGATGAATCCAAGATATTGTGTGATTTTGGATATTTTTAATATCATAATTCATGCATAGAATGGTATATAAATTAATTAATCATAGTCCACATAAATCTCAAATTGAAAAGAACTACAAATTAGATTGTGCTTTATGTTATCTTAGTCCAAACCTTTTTAATCAAACATTTTTGTGTGATTTTGATTTGATATCTGAGAATTCAGAATCACCTTTCTATTATTAAGAGAGGTACTATTCAATGTTTGAAATGTAAATTTTAATTTAAACTTAAGTTATAAAATAAATTTTGATAACAAAAATGAATTTTCACCTTAAATTATTGGGGGTAAATACATGTATTATAATTAAATGTATTGTAAGAGCGGATATTTTTTAAAAAAAGGAGAATGTCAATAATGTTTAGAAGGTTGTTCGTATTGTTAATCAGATTATTATTGTATTTAATGTGAATCTAAATATACTTTAACTGATTAAGGACATTGTAAATAATGTTAGAAGTGTGAATTATGCTATTTTTTAAATTAAGAAGAATTCTGCTAGTATGACTTTTATTGTAAAGAGTAATAATATTTTTTAAATAACTTATGCATAGATTGTGGATCATATTGTCAAAAATGTAATTCTCAATAATGTTTTTATTGTATAGATAATAAGAAATATTATTTAAGTTTAGATGGAATAAATTGTGGTTATTGTTTTATTGATAATTGTGAATATTGTTTTGAATATGTTTATGATAATAATAATAATATAATAGTTTCAATAGATATAAATAGAGAATATATTTAATTGGATAATTATGAAATACATTTAGGTTGTGCTTAATGTTATAAAGGTTACTATTATTCTTTTTAAACTAATAAATGTGAATTATTATCTTAAGATATGTAATAATGTGATATTGCAATATAATTATATTCAAATTAACTAATTCAATGTTTAAAAACTTAATCTTTAATTAATTCTATATAAAATATATATTGTGAAAATATTCCATTATGTTTATAATGTATTCATAATTATTCATAAACAATAAATCAATTCTGTATTATTTGTAAAGAAGGATATTATTCAAATATATAAACTGGATTATGTAAACAATGTCCTGATAAATGTAAAACATGTGTTTAATAAAATATTGTAATTAATGATTATTGGAAATGGGAAATTAAAGCATTTTATTAATATTTTATAAATTAAAATGGTTAACATTCATTTGAAATCTATGCTGTTGATCCTGATATTTCTCAATAAGAAATTATTTGTTTAAGTTGTAAAGTTAATTTTATCTTATTCAAAAATGACTGCCTTTCAGATTGTGATGATAATTGTGAAGATTGTAGAATAGTCTAAAATAGTATGTTACAATATTAATCTAGATGTGTTAAATGCAAGTCTAATGTTTTTAATAAATAAAGAAGCTATAAATTTGATAGTGATTTAACTTAATTAGAATCTTAATGTTAAATTTGTCCAAAATATTGTTAAGCTTGTTTTCCAAGAACTAAAGAAGAAATTTAAAAAATTAACTTATTTTTTGACTAAAATTCTGAGTACCTCAAATACTCATTCAAGTGCTATTATGAAGATGAAAATTAAACATATAAATATATTTTGCCTGAAGTTTTAACATTATAAAATTGTGGAGAATTATAAAAATGTACGAAGAGTCTAGAATTAACTTTTAAAGTATATAACACTTTAGGTGAATTATTAGATGCTTAAAGAGAAGAAACAAATGTCAATTTAAAAAAATAATATTCATCTATTTTAGATATAATGGTATATAATCTATAGGAATCTTATGAAACACCTTAGTTGCTAGAATATTATAATAGTGAAAATATTGAAGAAATTACTCTGAATTATTAATTAGAATCTACAGAATTCTATATTGATTATGGTTCAAATATAATTAACAAATTAAAATAAAATGTCTTTAATTTAAAAAGAGTAAATGTAAGATTTTATAATAATAATAAAAATGTTTTATTTTCAACATTTGAATATTGTAAATTTATCAATATTGATTAAATCATCTTTGAAAATTTCAATTTCAAATCCCCTACACCTTATTTCGCAACACCAAATGAAAATATTATACATCGTTTTGAATTTTAAAATAAAAATTACCCATAAACTGTAATTTTTAGAAATGTTAGTTTTATTTAAAGTATTGAAGACAACATCTTAGATTTTTACATAATTTGTAATAGATCAAAATAATTCTCTATTATTGATATGAATTTTAATTTGAACTTGACTGATTCGATATTTTTTTAGTATTACCCTTTTATTAGTGTAGAAGGATCATAAATAATTGTTTAAAATTTTAAGATTTTTAATAATTATTTAAGAAACACAAGTTTATTTTACTTTTTTGCTGAAAATAATACATTTGCTAAGAGTATTATTTAATTTATTAATGTAACAGTTCAAAATACTTTATTTACATAAAATTCTAGTTTTATAACTTCCAATTTCTAAAAAAATTATGATATAGGCATAATATAATTAGAAAATTTCACTTTGATTGATGTAATCTTTGAAAATTCATCTTCCTTTATTAGAATTCTATCTGGAAAATAAATTTAAGTTAAAAATTTTAGACTTAAAAACATTAAATTTCTTGATTTATCATCATTTTTTATTGGCAACACTTTTAATATTATTGGATTTGATGTTGAATCATGTTATATAGAATTTGGATAAATAATTACTAATTATGGTAAATTTAGCGAATCTAAAGAAGTAAGAGAATCTTCTAAGGTATTATTTTTAGAGAATATTAATTTCACTAATAATAAATATCTTTAAGAAAAAGCTTTTATTTATGTTTTATAAAATCAAGTAGAAAACATAAGCATAACTGTTTAAAATCTTTATTTGTATAATAATCATTATTTTAATGTTTAAGTTGGTAAACTTTCATATAGTTTTGTATCAGGGGATCTTAGTTAACTTTACTTTGAATGTAGCTATTGCATTTTTGTTAATTTGAATATAACTAGAGGATTAGGCTATCCAGAATTAACAATTAGAAATAGTAAACTTGTTTAATTGATGAAATTTACAATTTAATTAAATGATTAATATGAACTTAAAGCTTTGCATACATCAATTAATTGTATTAGATAGTATTACTTTTTTGATTTACCTTTTGTTCTAAATATTTAATACTTTTTCAAAATATATATTGATGATGTTAATATATCAGATTCAGTTATTATTGATTATCCATACTTTATCTTTGAAGGTTAGAGTCTTAATGATTAAATAGAACCTGATCAAATTACTCTTAAGAATTCAATATTTGTTAATAATATGTTGATTATCACATAATTAAATAGACTCTCTTCAATAATATCTATATAAACTTACAAAAATACTAAAATTCTCTTTTAAAACATTAAATTTTAAGGAAATTTCCTTAATAAATATGAAGATGATACTTAATTACATTCTTCATCTACATTTATAATTGAATCTCAAATAGGATAAGTGATTATTGAAGATTCATTATTTTAATAAAACACAATATCAAATTCATCTGATTCAAATATATACATTAAATCAGAGACACTTTTTGTTATAAATTGTATATTTATAAATTAAAATTAACTATCTAATTAAATATTGCAAAAATACTTGCTAATACCTATTGATTAAACTAATTATAATGATGTAGTCAATGAAATCTTTTGGATAATGAGTTAAGGTGGAAGTGGATCTTTCTTTATCAATGAATTAACCATGATATAATGTATTGTCAATAATTCTTTGGCAGTAAATGGGGGAGCATTTTACATTAACACAAAATCAACAGGTAAAATTATGATAAGTAATTCCTCATTTGAAAATACGTTAACAACTTTAAATAGTAATTAATTCTCATCTGGAGGGGTCTTATATATAGATGCTTCTAAAAGTCGTTTAAATCTCATAATATCTGAGACAAGAATAAATAGAGCTTATTCTCGAACTTAAGGAGGAGCTATCTATATAGAAGCATCAATAATTCAAAATGAAATCATATTCTTTAATGTCTCTATTGAAAATTCATTTTCTTTTAAGAGCTCTATATTATTCTTTTCACCAAGTAAATTACAATCTCTAATATCAAATATTCACATAGAATAATCTAAATTTAAAAGTACTGAAAATGAATTCAATATGTATTTGTCATAAATTGAAGATTTATCTATTTNACTGTTTAAAATCTTTATTTGTATAATAATCATTATTTTAATGTTTAAGTTGGTAAACTTTCATATAGTTTTGTATCAGGGGATCTTAGTTAACTTTACTTTGAATGTAGCTATTGCATTTTTGTTAATTTGAATATAACTAGAGGATTAGGCTATCCAGAATTAACAATTAGAAATAGTAAACTTGTTTAATTGATGAAATTTACAATTTAATTAAATGATTAATATGAACTTAAAGCTTTGCATACATCAATTAATTGTATTAGATAGTATTACTTTTTTGATTTACCTTTTGTTCTAAATATTTAATACTTTTTCAAAATATATATTGATGATGTTAATATATCAGATTCAGTTATTATTGATTATCCATACTTTATCTTTGAAGGTTAGAGTCTTAATGATTAAATAGAACCTGATCAAATTACTCTTAAGAATTCAATATTTGTTAATAATATGTTGATTATCACATAATTAAATAGACTCTCTTCAATAATATCTATATAAACTTACAAAAATACTAAAATTCTCTTTTAAAACATTAAATTTTAAGGAAATTTCCTTAATAAATATGAAGATGATACTTAATTACATTCTTCATCTACATTTATAATTGAATCTCAAATAGGATAAGTGATTATTGAAGATTCATTATTTTAATAAAACACAATATCAAATTCATCTGATTCAAATATATACATTAAATCAGAGACACTTTTTGTTATAAATTGTATATTTATAAATTAAAATTAACTATCTAATTAAATATTGCAAAAATACTTGCTAATACCTATTGATTAAACTAATTATAATGATGTAGTCAATGAAATCTTTTGGATAATGAGTTAAGGTGGAAGTGGATCTTTCTTTATCAATGAATTAACCATGATATAATGTATTGTCAATAATTCTTTGGCAGTAAATGGGGGAGCATTTTACATTAACACAAAATCAACAGGTAAAATTATGATAAGTAATTCCTCATTTGAAAATACGTTAACAACTTTAAATAGTAATTAATTCTCATCTGGAGGGGTCTTATATATAGATGCTTCTAAAAGTCGTTTAAATCTCATAATATCTGAGACAAGAATAAATAGAGCTTATTCTCGAACTTAAGGAGGAGCTATCTATATAGAAGCATCAATAATTCAAAATGAAATCATATTCTTTAATGTCTCTATTGAAAATTCATTTTCTTTTAAGAGCTCTATATTATTCTTTTCACCAAGTAAATTACAATCTCTAATATCAAATATTCACATAGAATAATCTAAATTTAAAAGTACTGAAAATGAATTCAATATGTATTTGTCATAAATTGAAGATTTATCTATTTAGGATATTTTACCATATTAAAAAGAAAACCCTGCAATATACATTTAATATAGTAATTTTACAATATTAAATACTTCCTTTCACTAAATTCATCTAATAAATATAATATAAATATTTAATGGAATTAATGTTAATATTCTTAATTTAGAGATTATCAATTCTACTATTTTTGCTTCATAAATTATTAGAGTTACATTAAGATAAGGTATATAACATATAAATATATCTAGATGTCAAAGCTAAACTAGTTATTAATAATTTGATTATTAAATCACTCACAATTTATCAATTTAAAGAATATGAATGTAATTAGGAAACATAAATTATAAATAATCAATTATTGTGTCCTACAGATTTTCAAAAAATTCTATATCATCCATCTGTCTAGACTAAATTAAGAAATAATACAAATTAATTAAATTGTAACTTAAATTTAATTAAAAAATATTTTGCTAAAAACTTTAGTCTTATTGAACTTAATAATTTTTAAGAACTGCATTAGGTTTAATTAGAGAATATCGAATTTAATTAATGTCATTGCAGCGATTGTTACTTTGGTTTGATATCAATATAGGAATTCGATTTTTCATCTTTAAAATTATAAATTAATAAAATGAAATTATTAAATAATACCTGTGGTAGTTTAGGTTGTTTATCAATATTTTAATCCCAATTAAATAACAATGAGGATGAGAATTAAAGATTATTATAAGTCTAAGACCTAGAGGAAATTGAATTTAATCCTAAGTATAATATTTAGATGAAAATTGAGGATAGTTAATTTTTATATAATAAAGCTTTGTATGGTGGAGCTTGCTATATTTCAAGTGTGAATATCTTATTTGATAATTGTTAACTATTATATAATGAGGCTCAATATAAAGGAGGTGGAATATTTTATAATTCTAATTAAACTCAAATTACTGTCATTAATAGTTTAATTATTAATAATACTGCCAAAATTGCAGGAGGTGTCTATATGAGCAATGATCAAATGATATAACCAAAAGTTATGAATTTATTTATGAAAAATAACATAGCTCATTATTATGGAAATAACATTGTGGAATATCCTAAATAATTAAAACTCAAATTCAATTAAGAAATACTTTTAGATAACAAATTAACCTTTAAGAATATTTCATCAATTATTGAAGAAGCACAAATTCAATCATACTCTATTCTTGGATAAGAAAAGAAAACTAAAACACTTTTATTACCATCTGGTATTAGAATTTCTAAATATAAATATTTTGATTATACTACTTAATCCTACTAACACTATAATTTATCTTTTAGAATACTTGCTATTAATTCTTTTGGAGAATAAATTACTAATCTAAGTAATTCATTTTGTTCAATTTATGCTTAAGAGATTAAAAATACTGAAGAAATTGTCTATTCTAAATTATAAATAGATCCTATAATTTCTTAATAATATTTATCAATTAATTAAATTGAGTTTAATTTAACAAGTGGTGATTATAATTTGGATGATTTGATTATTTATTTTAATCCTCAAACTGATGATTAAATCTCTCTTTTATTAGTATTTGCATGTGATTAAATATAAGTACTTTAATTTAATGAAGTATTTCCTTATGAAAAAACAAATGTTATCACTGATTATTATTTATTAGTAAAATTAAGAACATTTAAATGTTAATTAGGAGAATATTTAAATTCTACATCAGGAGGGTGTATAGAATGTGATATAACATAAAATTAGTTTTCAGTTACAATAGATGCTTTAAAATGTGAATTTAGAGATGAAGTAAAAATGAAAAGTTTACAGCCAGCAATGATTGAATTAAGAGAAGGATTTTGGAGAGCATATTATTATAGCAATTTGATAGAAGAATGTTATCATTAGAAACTAAATTGTGAAGGAGGGTGGAAAACAGGAGATTAATCTTGTTCTCTTGGTCATATAGGTGCTTTATGTGAATAATGTGATCTTTATAATACTTAAGGATTTGGATCTTTTTCTTAGGCTTAATAATACAGTTGCTCAAGTTGTGAAGATATGGCTGGTAATATTGCAAATATTTGTTTTGTACTTATATGGACTCTATTGTCAGTATTTTTATCTGTAAATAGTACAATTAAATTAATTGAAGAGTTTACATTTTATACTAAAGTAAAAACTATTGTGAAGCATATTATTTTCTAATCTTCTTAAACCTCAGTATTACTTAAAGTGTTTACAAATTACTTATAAATTATTAGTTCAATATCTACTTTCCAATTAGCAATTCCTGCAGGAATATTACTAACATTTACATCAGTAGGAAATCCAATAGAATCTATGTCGTTTTCATTGGATTGCTATTTAGTTTAAATGACTACAATTCCAATCTTATATTTTAGGATTTTGTGGGGATATGTTATGGTAGGCTTATATATTTTTATTTTTATTGGAATGCATCTAATTTTGTTAATTTTTGATAAGAAAAAAAAGATGAGCATTACTTTCATAACTACAACTTTTATTTACATATATATCTATTTATCTCCAAATATTATAAGTGGTTTAGTTGCTTTATTATCATACAGAAATATTTCTAATGTATAATGGATCACTGGGAATGTTGCATATGATTATAATACTGAACAACATTATAAATGGTTATCATTTTTTATTATACCATCATTTGTAATAATTAGTATATTATTACCAATGTTTTTTTGGTTTGTAGTATATTATAATAGAGCAAATTTAAACACCAGCAAAGTTAGAAAAATTTGGGGATATTTATATAATGAATATAAAGTAGACATCTATTATTGGGAAACTATAAAAATCTTATAGAAAGAATTTATAATATATGTTTTAATTTATTATGAGGATTATGTTGCTGTTAAGTCATCTCTAATATTTTTTGTACTTTTAGTTTATGGTTATTTGACTAATCATTATAAACCTTATGAAGCTGGAGATTTGAACTAAATTGACAGTTTATAAACAGCAATTTGTAAAGTTNTAAAATTAAGAACATTTAAATGTTAATTAGGAGAATATTTAAATTCTACATCAGGAGGGTGTATAGAATGTGATATAACATAAAATTAGTTTTCAGTTACAATAGATGCTTTAAAATGTGAATTTAGAGATGAAGTAAAAATGAAAAGTTTACAGCCAGCAATGATTGAATTAAGAGAAGGATTTTGGAGAGCATATTATTATAGCAATTTGATAGAAGAATGTTATCATTAGAAACTAAATTGTGAAGGAGGGTGGAAAACAGGAGATTAATCTTGTTCTCTTGGTCATATAGGTGCTTTATGTGAATAATGTGATCTTTATAATACTTAAGGATTTGGATCTTTTTCTTAGGCTTAATAATACAGTTGCTCAAGTTGTGAAGATATGGCTGGTAATATTGCAAATATTTGTTTTGTACTTATATGGACTCTATTGTCAGTATTTTTATCTGTAAATAGTACAATTAAATTAATTGAAGAGTTTACATTTTATACTAAAGTAAAAACTATTGTGAAGCATATTATTTTCTAATCTTCTTAAACCTCAGTATTACTTAAAGTGTTTACAAATTACTTATAAATTATTAGTTCAATATCTACTTTCCAATTAGCAATTCCTGCAGGAATATTACTAACATTTACATCAGTAGGAAATCCAATAGAATCTATGTCGTTTTCATTGGATTGCTATTTAGTTTAAATGACTACAATTCCAATCTTATATTTTAGGATTTTGTGGGGATATGTTATGGTAGGCTTATATATTTTTATTTTTATTGGAATGCATCTAATTTTGTTAATTTTTGATAAGAAAAAAAAGATGAGCATTACTTTCATAACTACAACTTTTATTTACATATATATCTATTTATCTCCAAATATTATAAGTGGTTTAGTTGCTTTATTATCATACAGAAATATTTCTAATGTATAATGGATCACTGGGAATGTTGCATATGATTATAATACTGAACAACATTATAAATGGTTATCATTTTTTATTATACCATCATTTGTAATAATTAGTATATTATTACCAATGTTTTTTTGGTTTGTAGTATATTATAATAGAGCAAATTTAAACACCAGCAAAGTTAGAAAAATTTGGGGATATTTATATAATGAATATAAAGTAGACATCTATTATTGGGAAACTATAAAAATCTTATAGAAAGAATTTATAATATATGTTTTAATTTATTATGAGGATTATGTTGCTGTTAAGTCATCTCTAATATTTTTTGTACTTTTAGTTTATGGTTATTTGACTAATCATTATAAACCTTATGAAGCTGGAGATTTGAACTAAATTGACAGTTTATAAACAGCAATTTGTAAAGTTTCAATAATTTTATCATAAACTATTTACACTTCTTAGAGTTTGAATATCTAAGAAATAGTGATACCATCTTATTTTTTATTGGCATTACTTAATCTATTCTTTATAGTAAGAGTTATCTCTAAAATCTTATTTGCTTACTTTGATCGATTGTCTTGGCATGTAGATAAAGTAAAATAATATATCTCATTAAAATTTCCTTATATTGTAAAAAATAATAAATATTGTTTACGATTATTTAGAAATTCATAAGAAAGGAAATAATTGATACGCAAACGATTTTAATTGATAAAAATCTATTTAATTTAGCATGCTAGATTTATACTTAATTATAAATAGTAACTATATTAATTATAATAGACTTAACAATCTAAATAATGGAGATATCAAGATATAATCAGAGTTTGATAACAATCCAAGTGAACAATACCAATCAACTAGAAATAATAGTAAACTAATGAGGACTAAGAGCAATTTGCTTACTGCAAGACTTTCAAGATTTCATTTACCATTAAAGAGCCAAGATAATTGAAATTAAAACCAATGTGTCTATCTAAATATTGTTTCATTTTTTATTTAATATACATTTAGATCATATTTTAAATTGATTAAAATTTGAAATAGTATAAAAAAATCGTTAATTTTCGAATAGTTTCTCAAAAAAAAAAGAAAGATTAAACTAAAAAGATATTAAAAGAAGTTTAATACTTATTATAAAATGGATTTAATATATATATATGATTTTCAACATTTGCAGTTGTCAGGATTTTAGGTCTAATTTTAATTGTTTAATGAAATTCCTTGATTTTGATTATCTTGTCCAGGTGTTAATGATTTAATTTTATACATTTCTAATGATAAGACAATTAGAACCTTAAAGCAATCTATCAAAGCACTATCCTACATTCTAACCTGTGACAGCACTTGATTCCTCAAATAAAACTTTATGCTGTTATGCTAAATTTTTTGCGTCTTCTTTTTAAACTTTTCTATGTATAACAAAACATGACAACCTTGCACTTCCATTGTTTTCAACTAAATCTATTTTATTACCAACCAACATTATAACCACATCTGGTTCGGCCTAATATCGTAAATCCTCCATCCACTTAACAACACTTTCAAAAGTCTTCTCCTTTGTTACATCATAAACTACTAAAGCTCCTCCTGCTTTTCGAAAATGACTGAATTAATTATATTCTAATACGTGCTTGTGATTCCTCTGTACCTTTCTTGTCCAGCAGTATCCCAAATTTATGCTTTAACCTTTTTGCCATTTTATAAAGTGACTGTCTTTCCTGCAAACTCAATCCCAATGGTGGGTACAGCATTTTTTGGTAGGCAACCTTTCACATATCTGTGGTTGTATAAATGAATTACCTGGTCATTAAATGTGTTTTACCAACTCCAGCATCGCCTACTAGAACAACTATTCTAATTTTTAGATTTCATTACCTTTAAAGAAGTCAGAGTAATCTTCATTATTTGGATTGTCCATTGCAAATTCAAAATATTATTAATATAATTACCCAATATTTTATTTAAGAATTCATTGTTTAATTATCAAGATAACTAAAAGAAACTAAAGAACCTTAATTAAAGATAACTCCACTAAGTAAACAATGTTATAATCTTAAGAACAAGACTCAATAAAAAGTATCAATAATTAATATAAAATTACATTTTATATAAGAATTGTATAAATTTACAAAGAAATCAATTACAAGATCATTATTAATTGAATTTTATCAAATAAATATTTAAAATGCATTTCAATTATTTTTACTAGTCATTTAGGATCAATTACGATTTCAATATATTAAGTTATGATAATTATAAGAAATTAAACCAAATAATTGCAGGATAGTTTTTAGAGAATATAAAAGAAGTAGTAATTCTAATTTGTTTTTAAGTCATGTAAAAACTTGACTAATTTATTTTTAGAACTTTAAAAAGTTTTATAATCACAAAAATTAATAAAGAAATAAAGTTATTCAATTTAATCAATAATTTAAGAAAAGATGCTAGCTGTTTTTGATTATGATAATTAAATATTTATTTATTTATTAAGTAAAATATTAGTTCTCATGAATCTTATAGAAATAAGTTATTTAAGACCTCTTTAAATTAATGATATAATTTTATATATTTTTTGAATTAGATTACAATTAATTACCCTTTAAAACATATTAGTTCTAATTGGTCCTATAGAACAAGAATAAATTACCAGAGATTAGAGTATGATTTTTCATAGAAATTATATTAGCTAAGTGAAGTATTAAAAATAAGTAATTATCTTTCAGTATGTTATAACCTAATTTCTATGAAAAATAATAATCATTCTAAAATAGAATGAAAGAGTTTAATAAGTAAAATAAATTATATTTTACTAATTAAGATGGGACAGATCTGTAAATTACCTTCAACTCCTGAAATAAATACATATAACGATGTTAACCATATTTAGTAGATGACTTACTAAGATGAAGTTCCATATGAGGAGTAAGAAAATAAAATAAGTGAATAAAATTAATCTTTTTTCCCTGGCAATCAATTATCTATGCAATTGTCATAAACACCAGAGTTTAGTTTACCTCCTTAATAGATTAAATTATATTCTCAACAAGACAGTCAATACACTCCTGAATTTTTAGCTCTAAGTTAACCTTTATAATAATAAATGAATATATATTAATAATAATTTTGAACCAGCTGTCTAGATACGCATAGGCTTTACAAAATATATGTATGATAAGAACATAGACATATAATTATTGATGACATGTTCATTTAAAAATGCTGATTTTTGTTATAGATTATTTGTATGATAATATACCTACCCCTGTTTTACACTTCATTCTTATGTGTAATCAGGCTCGACTTTATCATTAGTAATCAATTTAAGCTAGAGTGATAACTATAATACCAATAAATGATATAACAGTTGTTTTGATAGCTATTTATCATAATTTAATTATTTAATTATAAATGGGTGCAACATGTAGTAATACTTGCTGTACTAATGATTAAGAAATCACTAGTAAGGGGGGTAATGATAAATAAGAGGTTGTATTATCAAAAAACAGATCATTAAAAGAAAGTCAATAAAGAAATAATAAAGAAACCGAGAGATTTAACGCTGATAATGATTAAGGCAAATCTGATGCCAGTATTAGTAGTATAAAGAAAGAGAATTAACTCATTTAAAGTACGATTGGCAAAATGTAGAGAGTTCAATTAGAAGGTAAGAATTTAGTTCAATTTAGAAATTACTTTTTCAGATGGAACTACATATAAAGGAGAATGGATGAATGGATTAAAGGATGGACAAGGTGTTCTTAAATGGCCTTCAGGTAGTATCTATTCTGGCTCTTTCCTTGAAGGCAAGCTAAATGGGAAAGGCAAATTAATATTAGATGACGAAGATTATTATGAAGGTGAATGGAAAGATGATAAATGTAATGGATTTGGTATTTATGTGTGTAAAAATGGGGCAAGATATGAAGGAAATGTAACATTATTTGAAATATTAATAAGTGGAAAAATGATAAGTAGCATGGAAAGGGTAAAGAAGTATGGTAAGATGGAAATTCATATGATGGATTCTATTATGATGGTAAAAAACATGGTTAAGGAATATTAAAATTTTCTAATGGCACTATCTATGAGGGAGATTTTTCAAATAATGAAATAGAAGGATAAGGAACAATGACTTGGGCAGATAAAAGAGTATATAAAGGATCATGGAAAAAGTCTAAAATGAATGGTTATGGAGTGTTAACCTTTCCAGACGGAAGAGTTTTCAAAGGAGTAATTGTGATATAATTTTAATAGCATTTTTAAGATGATAAAAAGAATGGTGTTGGAGAATTTACATGGAATGATGGTAAGAAAATGATATCTACTTGGAATAATGGTAAATTTATATACAAATTAGGCAAGTAAAATGGTATTGGTATTTGTACAAATGGTGATCGCAAAATAGGATATTGGGAAGAAGGAAAAAGAACTAAATGGCTTGATGAACAAGAAAAGAAATTACATTCTGAATCCATTTAATAATTAGAACTAGTAAAATTTTTATGATATCTACTATCATACTTCATTTCTTTATAAACTAATCAAATTTTTAAGCTGTCGATAAAGGTTATTCTATTTTATTTAATGAATTTGATCTCAATGATTATTAAGTTTTTGGTTTATCACCTCCTTGATTCTGTCGATTACCTTCAAATGCAGTACGTGGAATATTTTGATTATAAATCTCATTTCTTCCTAAAAGTTGATATTCAGGAGTCAATGGGTTTGTCCCTCTATGATTAAGCAGCCCTTTTCTCAAAGTACCAACCTGAGCTCCAGGTACATCTTTAGTATCATTAATAGCTCTAAATTAAGATCGCTTTTGTCTCATTAAAAAATGATCACTTATAGCTCCTACATGACATCCTTCGATATCTTGTGTTTCTAAATTCTTTGTGTTATAATTTATTTAGGGATGCAAGACTCTACTCTTACTTCCACTTACAAATCCATATTTTTAATTAGCTGGTTAATCTTCAACATCTTTTAATTAATATTCAGGTTCAAGTGGATTAGTTACACGAGATGATTTAAATACCCTATATTCATTTATGTCTTTAACATCCATAATTTCCATATGATCTCTAGGCATGAATGCAGGTTTTGATTTTGCTCCATCTACTTCATCAAATATATGAACAGTTTTTCTCAATTTTGCAGCAGGAGGATTGGGTTTTGTTCCTGGTATGTCCTTTTCATTATTATTCGCTGTACATCAATATTTATTTAATCTCTAATGAATTTCGGTTGCAAAGGTTCAACAGGTACAGCTTTTGGGAGAACATAAACAGGATCTACTGGATTTGTTGGAGGTCTTGTTGTTTGAAATTTATTCAATTATGGATAAGCACCTTTGATGTCACGATTATTAAGAGAAAATCCCTTCAAAATAATACAATTTTATACATCTCTTCCAATAGAGGGAATCAATACTTTTGAACGAGTGCCTGCAATATCATTAGTTGTATTTGTAAAGTCTGGTTTATTAGTAAATTTATATGGCTTCATACAAGGTTAGGCACCTACTTTGAAAATTCAGTTACCATCAATGTCCTTTGTTTAAAGATTAAAATCTTATCCAGTTAATTTATCAGGTCTAACAGTGCCTACATCTCGTTTATCTAATTTATGATATAGAATTAATACTTATTGATGACAAATACATTAAATCTTTCCTACTTGGGAATGGCCAATCGTATGGATCGCTCATATATATATATTTTAATTTATCAATGTATAATTAAATTCTAAAGAAAGTAATTATTCAAAACTGAAGATGAGTTATCATAATAATTAAAATGCCTTAACAGAAATTAAGAAGTCTTGATCATTAGCAATAATTCTATGAATTTGATTCCCAAATAGATATTAGATCAACTTACTATTAGTGAATTTACATTGATTATACTCCTTAGTAAAGGAATTCCATAGAATGATTCGAATTATTTCCAAAAATATTGTCATACAACAGCTATTTTTAAGAAGAATTTGAAGTATATGATAATAAACATATTTTATGGATTAATTGATTAAGCTAAATAATTGTAATAGCAATAGTAAAAAGTCCTTTAGTTAAACAATGAATAAGCACAAAAAATGAAATAAACCAAAAAGAAATTATAGAATAGTAATAATTAACTCTTAAAAAGTAATTTATATAGGAGAATATTGAATACTCTATTTAATCTAAAATAAATAGAAATAAAAATTAATTGATAAATTTGATTCATTCTTAAATTATCTGCTATTCTATGAGATAAAATTTGATATAAAATAAACAATGTATTTTTATATAAATCTCATTTAATTTCCATTAAATTTATTAATAGATTCAAATTCTACTTAATTCATTAAAAAAAGGATGCCAAAATTATTCTTAAATTTTTACATATAGAAATATCAAAATATATATGGTTATTTTGAAAGTATTTCAGAAAGGAATTATTAAATTTTCAAAATAAATATTTATAATAAAAAAAATTAGTTTATAACAATTTATTTATTAATTGATATTAATGGGAGTAACATAATCTAGTTAAAATGATCATTTAGAAAAGTATTTGGGTTAAGATTTTCCAGATGGAGAAATTTTAATTGGATTCGAAAATGTATAAATTAATCATATATTAGCCAAGTAATATTTGTTATTCAAATGTAATATTGTAGGCATTGTATTATTGCAAAGACTTTAGGAATAGAATTTTATAGCATTAAAGCTCAATTAATTAGAATAATTTATTAGATTTAACAAATTTATTATTCCAATCAATATCAAATCATAAATAGAAGACTGGAGTAATTTCAACAAAGAAAATGATGAATTACATTAAAACAAAAAATAAAATATTTGATGGAAAATATCATTAAGATTCTCATGAATTTTATATGTGGTTTATTAATGAATGTGAAGAATTATTAAAGGATAAACAAAATAATTGGATTCGATAAATATTTTAGGGATAGTAATTAACATAGACTGAATGTTTAAATTGCCATACAAGTAAGTATGAAAATATAAAATAAGTATCTTAAAGAGAAGAAATGTATTGTGATTTATCATTAGACTTATTTCCAAATTATAGTTTGAACACTTGTTTATAATAAATGTCAAAAGAGGAACAATTAAATGGACAGAATCAATTTTTTTGTGATAAATGTTAATCAAAATAGGATGCATATAAAAGGTATTCAAGTTTGATCCAATAAGATTATTATTGAATACTTTACCAAATGTTTTAGTAATCCATTTGAAAAGATTTAAATATGATGAAAGATGCGGTTAGATGATTAAAGTGTCTACAAAAATTCCATTTTCACAATAAATAAGAATATAGGCTCAAAAGTAAACTAAAACTTATGAATTAACAACAATTATAATCCACTTGGGATAAGGCATATAATATGGACATTATGTTTGCATAACAAAAATATAAGGAAAATGGTTTAAATTTGATGATGATAAAATATCTGTAATTAAAAATTACAATATCCTTAGTTATTTGTTGATTAAGATTTACATTATGTTTATGGAAGAAGTTATCCAACACAAGCTTAAACATGTGCATATATGTTGTTTTATAATGCATAATGAATGTTAATAAGAATATTAGTATAAATTTCTTTCTTTTTATGATGCACAAAAAAACACTTTTTGGTAATGTTTTTTCTTTATTGATCAAGATTGTTTCAAGAAACTTCTTAAGATATAATAGTATACTTTACTATTTTTTTTTTTTATTATTATTAATTAAATGAGTAAAAATCATAATTTTGAGTAAGTTTGCTAAGATATCTGCATTTATCATAAATCAGTAGAACACATATTAAAACCCAATTAAAAGCCAAATAGCAAATTGAATTTAAAAAAAGACAAACTTATGAAGAAGTTTGCATCACAAATTATTAGAAGCGAATAAAGAATTAAATCTCCTTTTTAGATTGAAATGTAAATGCTTAAACATATTTAGATTTCAATAATAATAATAACTTAATGATAAGTGTGTTGAAAAAATGTCTTCTGAACTAGTCTTGTCCTAACCCTAAAAGAACTTATCTATCGATTTAAGCAAAAAGTATTATAAATAAATATTAAATCAGATGGCATTTAGATTTATCAGATTTAACTGATAAGGGAGTAAGAGATCTAAGTAATAGTTTATCAAAACTTTAAAGTTTAGAATAGTTAAATTTAGCTTTGTGTGGGTATTAAATCATGTTATTAATTATTAGTTGGGGTTATTGGAATCAAAATATTACAGATAAATCACTATAATATATAACTAATGCTTTAATACTTCAAAATCAATTGCATGAGTTTAATTTAGATTTAAATATGTGGGCTTATGAAAATAATAGTATAACTGATGAAGGAGCTAAGAATTTGATGGATGGAATTAGTTTATTGTCAAATTTAGGAAAATTGGAATTAAATTTAAAAGGATGGGGAGATGGAAATTAAGATATCACTGATAACACTATTTTAGGACTATCAAGATGTCTAAAGAAATTAGGAAATTTATCAGAAGTTAAATTAGTATTGTAAATTATTTATTTCTAATTAGATGGTAAAATATTGGAAAATAAGCAATAAAATAATTGAATAAGACTCTATCAAAAATGGAGAATTTAACAAAAATAGAGGTTAAATTTGAAAGGTATGAAATAAATACTATTACTCTAGTTGTGCCCAGTAATAACCTGTTTAGAATAATAATATCGATTAGAAACTCCAATAAATAAAAATTAATGCAGTTTAAAAAAGAAGACTTCTTTTTTAAGTAGAGGGTTTTATGATCAATCTTGAATCTATAATAAATCAAAGGACACTCTGGGATATTATTTTAAAATTATGATTGTATTAAATAATATATATAAATTTTATACTGATGTAAAAGATTATAACTTTTTAATTAATTTTATTTAAATGATTATTTTATATAAACTAAATGGAGTTTATGAATTCCAAAAATAATAATAATAATAAAATCACATTAACTATTCTAAAAATTGAGCTAATAATGGAGATATACATTTTATTTCATCTAAATTCTAGTATATTTTTTGTTATTCACTCTTATTATCATTATTAGTCATTCCCATTTTTTTGCAAATAATTGAATATATATTATTTTTATGGCTTTTTAATTATGATGAATATTGTTAACTTTAGTAGATTTGCAACAATGTTGTAGGAAATAGAGTATAAATTAATTTAGGAGTCATTTACACAAGATTTTGAATCCAATTCAAAATTCCTTCTTCAAAAATTACAAATATTTTCTAAATTGTAGTATTATCAAATTGCTAAATGTTCAATATTGTTTAACCAAGTAAAGTGTGAAATACACAGTACTTTGTAAATTCTGATTAATCTTAACCATATAAACCTTTTATTAATTAAAAACTTTACCATCATAATATTTATCTATTATAATTTATATAGTAGGTTTAATTGACTTTAATAATATTTAATTTTTACAAAGTGTGTAATCTAAATAAAAACATATTCTATCAATTTCATTTGTTTCTTTCATTTAAAAAATAATTGAACTATTACTAAATTATTATTCATAACGAGGGTTTTATCTAATAATATTTATTAACTCTGAATCATGATTGCTTGATCTTTAAGTAATTTAATTATTTGTATTAGATGTGACTTTTATAATTTTATTTAATAAAGAATTTGCAATAATTTTATGTTATCCTTTTGCTATTTATTCTAATTAATCTAAATAAGATTATGATAGTGTCTATAAAAAAAATGGTTATACTTAATTTAATAAATTTAAACATATTTCTTAACCTTTTATATTTTATAATTGTTAAGCAATATTGAGTATTGCAAAAACATCTTCTATTTCATCTTTAGTAAGTGGTTCATTTGATTAACGATTATTTAAATTATTTAGTTATCTTCTTAATAATTCATTCTCCCATTCATTTAAATTAAATTCATCAATATTTTCTTAATACAATTCTAATTTTGATGGAAAATTCTCTTTTAGTATGCATAAACAATCCCATATCATTTCTATGGCTGATTATAAATCATCATTTCCAGTAATACGATAATATATTGTATTTAAGTAAATTGGGTTTTTTGGTAACCAAAATATTGAATTTTGGATTTTGAATTTCAAAATATTATCAGAATTCAAAATTACTAATTCTTCTTTATGCACATACATTAATTATTCTATTTCAGTTAATGCTCTTATGTATCTATCTCTAGGTACTTGATCATGCACAATTAATCCTAAGAAAATACTCATATAAATAATTTAAATAAATTATTTTATCATATTTTTTATTCGTTAAAATCTAATTATAATTAATATTAATCATAAAGTATTTCTAATTCTTTCGTTTAAAAGATATTAAGATCACTTTCTGATTAATATAGATAAAGATTGAGAGTATATATTTTTGCTTGAGTTTTTCATAAATTTTATAATTATTATAATCTAGTATTTGAAATTGATCTCAATTTACGGTTCATTGGTGAAGTCCTCAGCTTTGACAATCTGATTTCACTGCTCATGACTGCTGGAATTCGAGTAGTTTTTGTAAAAATATTATAAGTTTATTTAGCATTTTCTAATTCAACTTACTGCTATCTTATTCTTTCATTTAGACTTTTTGCTATATCCCATTAAATTTATAATTCTTTTTATAACTTGTCACATTATATTTTATATTACTAAATAGAT